CATACTCACACATGGTTACATGGACCTCTGTCTCACTACAAACAGCCTCCAATATTGATCACATTTGCCTCACTTTCCCTGATAAGAAATATGAGATTACTTTTTGTTGGCTCAATTAATCTGCCATCTGTCCTCTGCACCCTATAATCATTGGACATGCAAAGAAGGGCTTATGCTTTAGCAGTGGTATTGATCCACACAGACCTTTGGGTTAGGAGTAAAGCCTCTTTAATTACTTTGGCTGACTTTCAGGGCTTGGTGTGGGTTTTTTTTTTTCTTTTTTGTTTTGTTTGGGGTTTGTTTTTGTGGGTTTGTTTTTGTTGTTTTTTTTTTTTTAATGTCTTGGGAAGACTAGTACCACATTTTAGCGTTGTTATCACTTAGCTTAGATTTGGAGTTTTGGTCCCCCAAGAAACATCTTCTACCTCAGCCTCGCCTGCCCATGCTTGGCATCAAAATCAGAAAAAGTCATTCTTTTACCTTCTCTAAGGATTTGATAACCTCTACACTTTCCTTAGCCAGAGGTGTTTTGACCTTTAATTAAAAGGAAAATTTGTTGTCTTCCATTCAGAAGGCAGCAAATAATGAACTCATTAAAATGAGGTTAGTGTTCAGGCCTTAGAGCAATAAGAGCCGAAGTCTCATTAGCAGCTAACAATCCAGAACATAGCACATAAATAAACCTAATATGGCAGAGCAAAATGCCTTGGTGCATTAAATTTGAGCAGAATCAAATGTTTACAGTCAATGATGTCTGGGGCATGAAGTTTTAATGTACTTAATAAAGGAAAGCAAATTGCTTCCTATTAGGCATGAAATGTTACTGCAGAAATTGCCCCAAAAAGTTTATTATGTAAATGAAGGATAGAGTTATAATTAACAAGGACATAGCGGGAAAATATCACTACTTCTTAATAGATGCACCAATTATGAAGAATAAAGACACAGCAACTTCAAATCTACAAAAGGTAATTATATGGATTAATGTAAAAGACTGCTGAATGTAAATGCAATATGAAGAAGCCACCGTATCTTGCAGATGTCACAAAGAGAAGCCTCGTTGACAAAGCAAAGAATCAATTAATAAAATGAAACCCACAAGTTCTCAGAGATTCCAGGCAATTAAGGTTTTGTATTTGAAATAACAGCTTGGACCACCTTAAGAAAAATGCACTTTGCTTAGCCTGGCACTGAGACATGCCTGTTTGTCCATGTGCAGGTGCGCTCCATGGTTCTTGCCTTGGAGAATGATAATTATTTAGCATCATTGACTTAACTGTCCGAAAATAAAACAACAGTAAGTTCCAGCTGTTGCTTTAATACACCTATGAGTTCAATGGGGAATTGAACATTGGAAGCACATCAAGCACTGGAACAGGCTGCGCAGGGAAGTGGTTGAGTCGCCATCCCTGGAAGTATTTAAAAGACGTGCAGATGTGGTGCTTATGGACATGGTTTCACAGTGGGCTTGGCAGTGTTGGGTTAATGGTTGGACCTGATGATCTTAAAGGTCTCTTCCAACCCAAACGATTCAATGAATGCTAACTGTATTTTCACATGCAAGTAGCTTTCCTCCACTTACAGCTCTTTTAAGCCCCAGTACTTGGGAACAGGGGGGAAGTAATCCCACTGACTCTGAGGAAAAGATGCACACTGGAAGATAGAACTTAAATACTGTGGTCAGATGAAATATCCAGGAGAAAAATCTCTACAAAATAAGATTTGTCACGTTTTTGGTTTGTTTTTTTTTTAAATCCACCATATGAATCCACCAAATTCTGCCATATGAATTTCCCTACTGCTGAAGTTACAGGCAGCGCCTACCATTTCTCCCTCAGTGAAGGCAGACAAAGTCCCAGGGTCAGCATGAAAAGGATATGGGACAGGGATGGGTGAGCCCCCAGGGAAGGAGGTCTGCAAAGGGGAGCTGGGGACAGCACGGCAGGACCAGGCAGAGCATGAATAGCTGTGTTTGCACTTGGCGTCAAGTAGGATTAAAATTCAATCTTCTCCATCCTGCAAAACCCTTCGGAACAAATTAAATACCTTCCACCTCGTGTGAAGGCTGCGCAAGTCCCGGCAAGGTTTCTAGCACTGGATGTCAGGAAGGCGCGGGTCCTCCAGCCTGCACCGTCCAGGAGCTGGGGAGCCGGAGGAGTGCCCGAGCAGCAGCGTCCGCAGCTATCCGCACAAACAGGCAACCAAGCAGGGCTTCACCCGCCCGGGAGAGCGCGAAAAGGGCGACGGGAGAAAGCGGTCTGCTCTTCTGCCGTGGCACTTTTCTATGCTGCGTGCTGTTAAGGTGTGTACCTACAGGAGAAAAAAGGACTCATTATTTACTCTGCTGAATTACCAGTGAAGGCAGTATGAGTCATTAGCAATTTTGTTTGAATATATATCTATTAAAAATAGGGAATCACCTAAACAGAGATTTTTTTTTTTTTTTCTATTAAGGATGTGGAAGAAGTTAACCCCCCTTCTACAAACAGGCAAATGTTGACAAAATAAGTTTGGACTGACTTAGCTGACAATATCTTCTTACTATTAAAATTATGTGAGGTCATGAAAATGACGTTTAGCTGCCTATGACATAAATTAATATGCATATATGGAAATTGCAATTAAAAAGCCTTTAGGACCAAGCCAAATCCAGTTTGAGTGACAGATTTGCCCTTTAGACAGAGAATAATGCTTGACACACTGCAGGTTACGGGATTTACATCTTAATCCTCGCTCTGTGTTTTTAATGAGACCTCACCGGGCTGGAAGGCTTCTGCCTATCCCGCAGTTCTGTCATCTTATTGAGACGTGAGTGTGAGGGAAATCAGAGAGAAAAGCCAAAGCAATAAAACGATGTTTGTTTTGTTTACCTTCTTATACTGTATGTTAAATGATGATAATTTCTCAAGATGTTCTTTCATCGTCTTTTCTCAAAGGAAAATCAAATTGATTTTGCTCAGCCCATCAGTCTTTCTCAAAATATATAAAATGCTCTAGATAGCTTGGAAAATTATGCTTTAAAATATAATGACTCTGATTCTATGCTTGTGACTTCAGTGGTGTCAATTTAGTGCCACTTTTTATCAACTGGGGACTCTCCTCAATGTCTTAGCTAACAGTGGTGTTTATGTCTAAGGTTTCACATTTTCATGTACATTTACTTGTTATATATTATGTAAATACAGTCCCACATGCGAAATTGTCACAGGATTGAAATAATCAACTTACTAAATGTCTAGCAAGATAGGCTGGAAACCATACCGCTATCTTAATATTTAATGCTAAAGCACAAGATTCACTGTCATGAGATTACTTTATTTCCTTTAGCAAGGAAAGGAATTACTGTTGTAGCCGATAACCACTATCTTTGTTTTACATCTTCCTTACCACCCAATAAATGTTTCTATTTAAAAAACGAAGGCAGATGCACACTGTCTGACAGTCTTTTGTATTACACTCCCGAGCTGCCTGGCACCTGAAGGATGCCTCTTTAGAAGGTGGCTGTTAGCAAAATGATGCTTCAGAAGAGGCTTGTGCTCCGACATGCACAGTGCCCAAATATCTGTGTAATTAGGAGGGAGTCAGTAACTTCAAGAAGTTAATGTCCTACAACAAATGCTGACAGCAACTGACGGCACCTCCCAACCCATTGCAGTGCAAAGGAAATACGAGAAATCATGAGACCACAGAAACCTGATCTGCTTAGTTCGGCTCCGTTCTGGACTACGATTGCATAGGCCATCGGTCTGCATCTCAGCTCCTTAAACCCTGGTTTGATCATTTATGCTGGACCGGCGATACTTTGGGTTTATGGTCACTGTTGTTCTTTAAAGTAGACCAGGGGGTTGAGCAAAAAGGTAAAACTATTTTCTTGTAATGTTAATTGAAATTACTAATGACCATACAAAATGTAATTTTTTTCAAATGAAAGGAAACATTAGCTGGACTCAGACTGTGTGTAAACCACTGCATTCATTTTGTCTTTGAACTGTGCAAGAACATGAACATACAATCAATAGAAATGTTATTAATAGATAATGGGAAAAGTTCTCAAGAGCCACATAATGGAGACATGGAAAATTGATGAAAATAGAGCTTATAACCCATTCAACATTAGCAAGACCAATAGGGAGATAAACGCACTGTCCATCTCACATATGTAGCACAGCCAAATTACGTGGGCTGGTGACTGAAAGCGGACAGATATCTCTGCACGAAGGACTATCTTTAGAAGCAGTAGAGAGCTGACAACTAACAGTAAATGTAGATAGCTCACACAAACTGAACCATCTTTTCTCTAGTGGTTGGAAATATGTCCAAGGAAAAAAGGACAGATGACCAAGGCTATACCTATTCTTCTATAAGCAATACACTTTTCCTCCATCTCATTTAGATTGGTCTTATCTTTTGCTTGGAGGAGAGAATAAAAATGAAGAGGGATTTAATTTCTGATACGGACACTACTTCTACCATAGATGAAAATTGGAGTTTTGCTCATTCACACTTAAGCCTGAATTTGGTATTCAGACAATCAGAAATGTTTCTGCAGGTAAGTAAATCCCAATGCCTCTACATCTGTATGGCAAGGAATATTCCAAATTTTACTCTGGGTTTTAAGCACATTTTATCAAGCCTCATTAATAACCCAAAGCATGGGTGACTCAGTGATTTAGTATATTGCTGCCTCTGAATGGCTGGATTCAAGTCCTGCCATAGATCACAGCAAACAATGTAGAGTATCTTGGTCCAAGTTACAGAACTATCATCTACTTTGGTACTTAAGTACTATTACTAGCATTGCTAGACCATTAAACTGATGGAGCAAATTAAGCTCACTATATTAAGTCTTACACAAAAGAATAAGTCTGAAATAAAATGTGAAACATTTAACAGGATCTTCTTTTTCTATCTCCTTAGGTTGGACACAACTTTTAAAATGAGGCATTCCAAAAATTAGTATCAATTTTTCTAAATGCGTGTTAATTTCTTATTTATTTCAGGCTTTACTAGAGACTCAAAATTTACTGCGCACTCAGGTTGCAAATTTTACCTTCAACCTTGGATTTTCAGGAAAATTTTACCACACAGGTAAGAAGGAACTTCATGCTCTCAGGTAGCTGCCGTTAAATAGGTGACAGGATTTTAAGCCTAGCTTTAAACATGCCCTTTTTAAATAACATGTTGACTCAGTGGAGCAGTGGGAAATACATGCTCCACCATTTTAGCATCCAATGTCTCATTCAGTGTCCAAAGGTAGGCTACGGATGACCTTCTCAGGAACACACAGATGCCCATGGTGCTTCTCTGAAAGATATGTGGTAGTAAATCTTAGGGTTATAAAGGAGGCAAAGTAGCTGCGAAGTTCTCTATAATTCCACAAAAGACAGGACAGCACAAGATTTAATATATTAAGGTTTTTTCCAGTATGATGAAATATAAAAGATTGGAAAAATCATGTCTCGTAACCTCTGAAGAGGCGGAAGTATTTGAATGGGAGGCACAAGATTTTGTTACAACTGTAAAGGTAGTCTTTCTCAGGGGTCTGCAAATTGGGAGGGATGATAAAAGGAAAACAAGATTAAAAGAAATTTGTATTGAAACCCTGCTCCTTCCACACTTCATGCAATAACAAAGTGCACACTTGCACTGTGTTTCAGTGGAAGATTAGGTGCTTTTACATTTCTTCCTCCTGACTCCTTTCTTTTGCTCCATTTCTCCACAGCACAATGCCCCCCCCCCCTTTTTTTTTCTTCCCCTCCTCCTTTGCCTTCTCCTTAACATTTTGCTGCACCTCCGTTCAGGCTTCCCTCTGCTGCTACCGAGCCATGCTGCTCCCTAGTCCTGCTAAGGCAAAAAAAAAGACATACTCAGCAACTCACTTCAAAGGAGACACCCCCTGTCCTCCTTTCCAAACCCCATACCCTTTCCACATTTGAAGACCAGCTCCAAAAACATCAGCTGTCAACCCATTCAGCCACATTTAGTGAGACTCGCTGAGTAATGCTAGGGAAGTTGAGAAGCTTATCTGGAGCAGAGAGCAGAGGAGGAGGCATTACAGCAGCAAGAAGATGGGAGGGTAAGTTTAAAAGCTAGGAGCAATGCAGTCCCAGCTGTCACGGGCCATGAGGTAGCTGTGGAGTAAGGCAGGTCACCCCTTTCAGTGTAGGTGTAGCAGTTCTTCCCTTTCCATTGCTGGTATTTGAACACCAAACCAATGAGCTTACCCAGCTCTTATGTCTCCATTTCACCAGCCATTAGGAGAGTACAGAGGTCCCTGGGAGAAGGGGAGATGAGGAAGCTTATGAAGGCAAATACAAAATTATGTATTTGTATCACTGCCACTTTCAAAGTCCAGGCTGTTTTCCCTTTGTGCAAGCACATAATGCTAAGCAACTGCTGCTCAGGAAACCTTACAGACTAAAGATATAGTCTGGAGAGCCTGAGAAAAATGAGCAGTAGAGAGAGATGGAATTACTTGCCTGGGGTCATATAACAAGCCAGTGGCAGACCTGTGATTAGAGAGCAACTTCGGAGACAGAACTTCCATATTCTCATCACTCCATCTTGACCTGCCTGTGTAGTTACTCCTTCTGGAGATTAATTGGGCACACATGTAATACAGCAAAACAAACAAAAATAGCCCAAGGCTCCAAGCCACTCTAAAGTAGGATGCTGCACGGTTGTGGCCATCTACAGAGTGAAGCTGGTATCAGTCATTACAGTGTCCACTGCAGAGTAAGGTAATTTAGGAGGGGAGGAGGTAGAGAAAGTGGTAATTTATTATAAATACTATGATGCACTGAACAGTGGTTGGCACAAAACATGCAGCCTTTCTACAAAATCAAACCCCTGACCTGCCGATATATTTTGTTTTCATTCATGCCAATGGCCTCCATATTGTTGTCACAGGTTTTTTTGCCCAGCTGATATAATGCTGACCAATTTCAGATTTGCTACTGCTGTAGAGAGAGAAAATAGAAGAATGTGCATGTGTGCCTGTCCTCCTAAGGCTCTCAAGGCTTACAAAAATAGCACAGAACTACTTAATGAGTTGAAGCATGTCATTGCCTCCATTAAGGGACATGCTGCTGCCTGTACTCAGCGATGCATCCGAGTTTTTAAGTGAACATTTCATTTAGAAGTTGGTGGTGGTGTTTTTTCATATCAGCTTAGTGGAAAGGTTTCAAGGTATTCTCCATGCAATATACGCTTTATTGACTCATTATAAATAAAACATGGAAAGGTATTCTTTAATTACTGCAAATGTGGCTTGTTTACCCAAAGAAGCTTTTAGTATCAGATATTCAACATGTTTTATTAGCGCACTGCAACTGCTGTGCCTTATTGACTTCCTTAACATGTGATTTTGCTCTCCTTTCCAAAACTTGGATCATTTTAAAACTACAGGAGGGAGATGAGCATGGCAACATGTTGGCAGATTAAGCAGTTATACATTTTCATCAGAAGATGTTGCCAACATCTGTACTACAAATAGCAATTCTAGCTGGTATGCCTGCGCACAAGTACAATGGGTGACACATCAGCCTCACTGCTCATCGTCCCACCACCACCACTCCCTTTGGCGGCACCAGTAAACTATGCACTGTAGACCTAACGCTATTAGCAAAAAACTGAGTAGAGCCTATTAGTTGTGCAGTTTTAGCAAACACTTTCTACTTACTCGTGCTGTGGCAATAGAAATTGAGATGTCCGCAGGATTTGCATTTAAGATTTGTAAGATTTTTGACAGCAGCTTCAAACTTAGTTTCAGTTTTGAACTCAAGACCTCTAAGTTACGGTTGTAGTTTTAAAATATGGGATTATATACTATGCGCAATCAAACTCTGAATTATTACCTACCTGTGGAAAGCGCATTCTGCATCTCAAAGCAGATATGTGTTCACCTCCTTGATTGTAGGTCTACCACATTTTTTGGATTTCATGTTAAAATGGTAATCGGAAGTTATATAAAGAAAGTTGATTGTGCAAGAAATTAAAACCCCAAAATCCCTTGTTTTGCCTCCAATACACTGAATAAGGGATCAGGCAAAAATATTTAAACAATATAAGCACTGACCAAATGCTCCTTTAAATATTTGCATGAGATTTTTTGGAAATAACACTACTTAAGAATTTATAAAAAAACAACACTTTTTTTAAAGGCTTGTAAAGGAAATTATCCTCAAATGCAACACCCCCACCAAATGTTAAACTTCCAACCTTTCTGTTTCAGCTCTGGCATTACAGGGTAGGATTGTTTTTGTTTAAACAGGAAAGTGTTATACTTTATCTTGTTTGATTTTTGGTAAAAAAAATGTGCAATGTTTGATTAGTTGTATAGAAATTTACAAAGAAATCAGTAGGAAAAAATAGGATTTTAATATATAGTTTTTGCATAATGAAATTATTTCAAGAACTATACTTTACTTCAAATGTTATTAAGGCATTAAATTATACTTTTACCCAAGTCTTATGTCAAGTGATTGTGATTCTTCATATATTTCAAATATCCACTTTTTTCCTCTTCATCCCCACCTTCAGTTTTCTGCCTCTGGGTTACCAAAGGGATCTTCAATGGCTTCACAAACTCCTATTCCTTTCTCTTCTGTCCTATTTTGAAAGCCCGTATTAAGTTTCTTCCCCCAATCACATTTCCCTTGCATGTGCTGGGGTGACCGCAAGTGAACCACATATCCCAAGAAGCAAGAGCAGTCATTTAACGGATGCAGTTTACAGATGTTTTGAAGGAAGCAGCAGACATTCACAGAAGGAGCAGCCATTGGTCCTTTCTTTTCAATAAGAAAGAAAGAATAACTTAGAAAACAAGGTTGTTTTCTTTTTCAAGGAGCACACTCATCAGCAGAGGCAACTTTCTTCGAACTTGCAGAGTGCTGCAAAGAGGAGAGTAAAGTGATTCAGTGACACCAGAACAAAGCTTCAAAGTAATGGTCCCCTTGTGTAGCAGCATTCTTCAAAAAATACTGCAGAAATGAAAAATAAAAATAAGGAGGTGAAGTGCATGCACCAAACAGCCATCTCTGTATGTTCCTGCCTCATGCCACGAAAGTAAACAGCGACATCCACGGAGCATTTTCTTCCAATGAGTTTTGCAAAACACTGAAAGGCTTGTAAGAAGAAGGAAAAAAAAAAAAAAATCTACATTTGCATCAGTAGGCTGATTTTGACAATTATTTCTCTGACTGAAGCTAAATAAAAGTATTTTAATGGTAAAGAAACGAGAAAGGCTGCTAATAAACTGAATATTATTTAGTAATTGGAGGGTGAAGTTACTGACACGTAACTTTGCCTTTCCAATTTGAAAAAGCACTGCAGACATGTGTCTGCAGATGGTGGAAGCAGCATTGTATTGTTTCTCAAATGGAAGGTTTTCCTTGCTATAACCACACATGCTCGCTTCTGCTTGAAGTAGATACTCCTCACTAACACAGGAGTTTTTATTGTTTTTAATTCAAGATTAAGCCTGGCAAAAATTGAATACTGAACCACAGGAAACAACATTTGAAACCCCTTTGCCATTACAGCTTCATGTTTTCCACCTAATTATATTTTGAAACTATTGCAAACTTGTTTCACATGTAACCAGAAATTATCAGATTTCAATTTTCCGAAGCTAATAATGAGGTAGCTATGAGTCGGGGTGGGGAGGGGGGGTGGCAAGACAGGCATCACTTTGTGATGCCGCCTTGGCCAGCTACAACTGCTTGCTGTCTGGCAGGACCAAAGCAGGTAGGTAAATGTCCATCCAATCTTCACCTTCACGGGGAGCCTGAACTTCTAAATACTCTTAGTGCATTACATAGCGCAACAATCAGCCCTCGAAAACTTATTCTTGTTAGAATTGCTGTCAGTTAACACCATGCCAGGAATAGAAAAGGCTAGCTACCATCCATGGCAATTCACCTCACTCCTTCTGTGATACCAGCATGGTGAGACATCCAGGCCAAGGACGCTAGGTTTTATGGCAGCCTCTTCTGTGTTTATAAAACAATTATAAGCATTTTCTGTTGTTGCTTCTCTATGACCTTTTTATTTTCCACTTTGTTTTGCAGGGACTGAAGAGGAAGATGAAGGTGATGACCTGCTATTAAGATCTGTGCATGAGTTTTGGTGGTTTCCCCATATGTGGAGTCACATGCAGCCTCACCTCTTTCACAATGAGTCGTCACTGGTGGAGCAGATGATCCTCAACAAAGAGTTTGCAATAGTGAGTAAAAGTTACAAAAGATTCACTAGGATACCTTTGCATATTAGAGCCATTCTTTCCAAGCTCTTTTTATGTTTGTCTATATTACACACACACATATATATATATTTATATAGCTATGCAAGTAAGGCAGCAAGATTGGAAACTCAGCCCTAAAAAAAGCCTTTCTGTGGCTCAAACTCAGGGTGAATTTTGTCTTAGCCTTTTTCACTGACACAAGCTTTCTGGAGAGGTAGCAGCCCTTCATCCAAGCCACCTTGTGAGACCACAGGGATCAGAAGCAGTGAAATCTCAGCAGATATCAGCTGGCCTTTTAAGCTTTAGGAGGGAGAAAGTTGCAGTGAAGCCTAAATGTTGTTTATGGTTTGTGAGAAATCTTAAAGCTAATGAAGCAAATACGTGAAGATGCTGGATTTCACTGTGCTTTTTTTAGATGACCTGCTTGAAAAATATGCTTTTTATGTAGCTAACCTGTTGCTAATATTTATAGATAATGACATTTCATTTTTGCTCATTTGTGGTGTTAACTTACAAGAGCTATCCTCCTAGCATTACCCAGAGCTCAGAGTACTTGTACTCCAAGGTCAGGTGGAAAACAAACCATTTAGAGTCCTTTCAGGGTAATTCTGCTTGCTTATTGAGCATGACAAAGAAAACCTGGAATCTATAAATGCTCGCTTTGGCAAAAGACACTGTGTTGTCTTTGACAAGGTGTAGAAGTGCCAAGCAACCAGAGCCACTCAAAAGAGCAGAGTGACACAGTGGGGCTTTCTCTGCTGCTCAGGGAACACCAGTCTCAGCCTTTCGCAGCTCAGAAAGGCCAGCCAGCAGCTGCCCCTTCCTCCCGTCCCTCACATGAGACAAGGCCTGTCAGGAAACTGGCAGAGGCAGACGCCTGAACAAGTGGTTGGAAGCAAATTATTCCCTTGTTTACAAAAATATTTTCCTAACAACCTTTAAAGGAAATTAATTAAAAATGGCTTAACTGTTTACTCTTCTTGGCAGACTTCCCCCCCCTTCCCAGCTCCTGCTTGGCAGGCTGTTAGTGCAGAGGCATTTTGGATGACGGCTTTTCCTTTCTACACTTCTTTACTGGCGGCCTTTTGTGTAGCCTGGCCCAGAGACTCAAATATAGTTGAGAGTTTAAATGCGAGAGTAATTCTTGAAATAATCTGTATCTCAAAAATACATGGTCCATTCATCTTTAAACCTATGGGGAAATTCTCCCAGTATTTTCAGGAAACATGAAGTCCTCTAGGTCAAACCACCTTTAGGAGTAAAATCTATAGCATAGCCTGAACACAGGGCTTGTGATAGAATCTGTTTGCAACTTCAACTACACAAAGATAAAGCCCATGTTGCTATCATCACTGAAGGGTCAAGACTCCTTAGGGTGCCTATAAATAAGGAGCTGATGTCAGTGAAAGGCTGCTGTTATTACAGTTTTATTTCCTGCTAACATTTGGACAGGGGTTGTACCAACCTCTTAACCTTGAATCTATATGAGCTGTATAATTTACTTATGAGAACATTTCTTTTCAAAAGGCTTCCTGTGAAGTCCTCTCTGTGGGAGAAATTTATCTTCCTGATATGACAACCTTCCCGATAGCTATCAGAGAGGTCCCAGCCATGACTTCAGAGTAGTTTTGTATCCTCTCCTGCTTTCTCATCCTCAGCATCATAGCTTAGAAAGGAAATCCCTGTACAGCTGCACTTCCATAAGTCCTCCAAAGCTAAAGCAATCCCCTTTTCATTATTCTTGCACCTCACAGTGTGGATCCAAACTTCAATTAGAGATCTAGAACAATACATAGAAAATCTGCTTGATGTTACATATGTTTTATTTGTTTTCTAATATCTTTATTTTGTATTGTACTCGGGGAACACAGCTTGGTGCCAATGCCATTTTCTCTTGCATTTCCCATTTATTGACCATATCTCCCCACCTCCTGTTTTAGGGACAGGTAGTTTCACAAACTGAAACTTTGTGTCAGTTTCTGCAAAGAAAGCCACAATAATTATTTGGAAGTACGATCACATTCATTCTTCACCTAATATGGTATTTCTTCATTTATTTTTTTAAACATGGCTAAGAAGGTAACAAGGTCTTCAGGGTGGGACAGCACATCATTATACCTGAGAATAACAGTCGAAGTTGCTTTAAGATCCCAAATACCACAACAAAAATTCTGTCCATTAAGACCTGTTGGCTCCTCCTGGCTTTACCATTTTAGAGGAAAGCTAAAACAGATCACACTGTCCAGAAACCTGCACTCAAATCCCTTCACAGTCATCAGTTTCTTCATGCAAGGGAGTATCAGACTTGGGATTGATGTTGTTCACTGGGGAAGAGGTTTCATGAAGGGAATGTCTTTTTCTTAAGTATTGTGGATTAAAATCAAGTTAATAAACACAAGCCAGTGCACCTGAAACTATTTCATTTTGCATGGAGCTATAAATGTACATAAGCACAATTTTTATTGGCTCTTGTATTTACACTGCATGCATAATCTTTGGTTTGCAGGAGCTCAAATACACATACAGTCTGCTGAACACAGGCAAGAAATACAGGTGTTGCAGCTGGCAACTAGATAAAAGACCTCGTTCTGTTTTACAGATATATCCATACCTCATAATGGTGCTTTATAAAATGGGGGGTTGCAATTGCAGCCTGCCTCAAATACCTGTATCACAAAATACATGTAGAAATTGGATATCTAAACAGTTTTCTATACATACAACTAATTGCTAATTAGGTATCTAATTGCCTTGATTTCAGTGCAGATATGCATACCTCTATCTGGGGCTTAGTAAAAATCAACAGTCTTTAAAAGATTCCCTTAGGTGTGAATTGCTTGTGAACCAGGAGACTGCCTTTAACAAGAGCCCTCCAAATGATTATATTTTATGTGTCACTGAGATATTTATCATTTTTACTGTTTCATGCCCCGCTGGTGAGAGGAAGAGACTTTCTCAGCTTTCATAGATGTTTTTGCCCCACTGCTCTGGATCCAGCGAGCAGCATGGGAAGTTTTGCCTGGCAAAACCCCTGTCCATGCGTGCCTGAGTGACAGGCCCCACAGCTGCCCCCATCCATAGCCCCATTCCCACAGCCCTCGCTGGCAAATCTCTTAATGTGCTCACGATATCCTCAGCCTCAGAGGAACAAGAGCCAGAGATTCTAACTGTGGTGAAGTCACAGACTACCCAGAACTTTGCTTTCCCAACGTCATCTTATTTGTGTAAATATGGATAGTATGCTTCAGAGCATAAGGAAATGCTAAGGAAATGGCAACTAACATTTATTTTGCTTATCACTTGGATTTGACTTCATCATATTTTGTGGTTGGTTTTGGTTTGAGGGTTCCCGCCCCCCCCCGCCCCCCTTATCAGAGGATCCCAAAATCCCTTTGAGACACTCATGGATTAAGTTTTGGATTAAATTTTGCAAACTGATAATGTCTCAAGCATTATTCTCCTTGTTTATAGGCAATGCAATTGATACACAAAGAGGTAAACAAATTGCTCAGGCAGAAGTCTCTGATAGTACATATCCCAGAAATAAAACTAAGTTTTCACTGCCATCTTTTAATCACGAGATATCCTTCCTCTTTCGTACATTCTTATCTGACAAAAACAAGGAGAATATATTTAATCCAAAGCCTGTAGCTCTTTATTTTGTTCCTCGATTTGTTTGCTCAGTGATTATCTTCTGTGCTCATTTGTGAGCACATGTGCCCAAGGCACAGCAGAGATACGGCACAAACTATCACTGACTGTAAAAAGGTAGCTGTGATCTGATATGAAGAAGTGAGAGAGAGAGACATATACGAACCAAACAAATCGATTTGGAGATACACATATACAAAACAAATCAATTCAGAGCCTGTCTAGTAACTCCTTGGCTTCAATTGCCTGTTTATAAACCAACTACAGGTGCACATTAGCACTTCCTCTGCCTAAAACTTCTGAGCTCCCCAAACCACAAAGAAATCATGAGCTTCTGACGTACCAATTAAATACCAAGAATATGAGGACCAGTGACCACATATCAAAGGCAATGTATCTATGTGTGATAAGAGAGTCTGATTTGTCCCACTATTAATATCTGTATTTAATGTTAGGAAGGAGACATGCCCACTAGAGATTGCCTCTAAAAATACTCTGTAAATGGTCTGCATATATCGGATAACACTGTCCTGTGCAGACAGGATGAGATTTATTCTGCCTAACCTGAAGGTCCTTCCAAAACAGTCCATCTTCATTAGTGCTTTTGTTCGTATCAGGAGCGTGCTTTGACAGCACACCTCTAAGACTGCCTCTACTTTCTCAGCTTTATTTGGTACCACACGCATGCAGAGTCTACGCATTTAATAGTCATGTATATGACATTTGTATATGACAAGTCAACGCTGGACTGCCTTTCTTCATTTCACACCCTCAGAAACCTGAGATCTTAAATCCCAACATCTTCTCTGCCTCTTGGTAGTCTGCTACAGTGCGAAGCATGCCTAGGACAGGAGTCGTGGTGGTATCTGGGAGACTCCTACGTAAGCCTGGTGAAAACCTGGCTTTTCCCATGTCCCTGTCAATCCTGCATCTGACGCCGACACCAGAAAACCTGCTTCATTAAGACCTTGTACTCTCTGCTCGGGACATTGTACAGCCACGTGACAAAGAAGCACAAAGGATGAAAAAACAACAGTGAAAGCAAATACCAACACACAAAGCCCCTAAACCTCAATAACAGTCACTTCTCTTTTGCTGAACTGTCTTGTCTAGCCAGAGAGATTTTAGGCAGATTTTTACAGTTTAGAATTGAACTAAAAGTAATTAAAAGCCTAAATATTTATTCTATAAAAGTTATCCAGAAATGTAAACCTTGAGAACAAAACCCATGTTTCCATAAAGGATAAAATACAATACAACATTTCTGTGAGTGCTGAGAAGCGAGAAAGTAGTAAATTCATTTCCCGAATAAGAGAAACTTTACTAAGTGTTTTAAACTGTCATCATAACATGTATTCTCTTATAGGAAATCTCACCCACATGCAGCAATATTCAAAATATATCTCAAAACTAAAAATACGCAAAGTTTATATAAATCTTTTAACTTTGGAAGGTAACATCTTTAGTAGTACTGAATTTACTCTATCACCTACCGTTGGACGAAGTCAAAAACTTTACCAAACTTATCTGAGGTTGTATTGTTAACCTTTTCATCTAATGAAAGTCTTTACACCAAAGGAAATACTGCAGTTCAACTGATTGTATGAAAAGATCTACAGTAGACCTAAGATTTAAAAAAATGAAAAGGTTGCTTTTTTAATCTTTCTCTGACAATGGCCAATACTAGATGTTGCTGTAAAACAAATCGCCAGCAATCTTTAAGAACCAGAACGCCAGTTGTGTTATAACAGTTATAGGTTTTGTTTCATTTTATTTCTTACTGCATTTAACAAGGAGATATAATAATTGGGGCAATCAAAACCTGGGGGTTTTCCATTGGACAAGATCCTGCTAGTATAAATAGTCAATCTTCCAGATGCTGTTTTCTTTCACATTTCCAACATCCACTCACAGAAAATCTGCTTCAGGACTGCAAACTTACTTGCTAAGAATATACCTCCTTCTGTAGAGCAGGGCTCTTTCTGCATTATCTGCCCTTCCTTCAGCAGAGGGTTTTTTTGCAAATGCAGGAAAAGTACACACAGCACACGCTGCCTCATGGCAAACAGCTCTCTTCTGTACAAATAGGAAGGTCAAAAGAGGTTAGGAGTTTCAAGCAAATCTTCACTTGCTTGAACGAAGCTGATAATTGAGGGAGATAAGCAGCCTTGGCAGATTGCTTCAGCCTGTCAGCTCAGCCGTAAAGGTAGCTGTCCTACGCCTGGGCTCTGGGCAAGGTTACTTTGGAGGGTGCGCAGATGAGCCAAGGCTGCACTGGCAGGACTATGAGTTTCCAGTTCCCATTGCTCTGGCTTGGGTGCATCAGCACGAGGGTGAGACAGCTCACATGAAGTGGCTGCCACCGGCCAGATGTGCTGGCCACATGCAGGCATCAAAGGGAGAGTTGTTTTGACTGGTAGCAGCCTGATCCGCACACCACATGCTCACTGGTAGGAGCATGGAGAACATGAGCTGGGCTCCTGGAGAGCATCTTCTAGTCTGCTCCAGCCTTTAAAACAAGGCACGTCACATGCTCCCAGACCGCTCCATGATGCAAACCAGTCCAAGGGAAGTAGGGACAACTGGGGGAATTCTCTGCCAAAAATGCAACAACTGTTTTAATCATCTTCCCCCTATCTCACAGGTTATAACAGTGATTCTCCTTTAATACTGAACTCATCCACTGCTGCAACTTCAGCTTGCACTGTCATTTAAATTGGAACTGAAAGTCCCTTAATGCACAAGTGAAATAGGGATACAAATCTAACCTGTCCAAAAGGCTCTAGGGTCCCAGCTTAAGCGTGCAAAGGAACATAATGCTGCTGTTCTCAGTGACAAAAAGGGCCAGAAGTTTTCCAAACCGAACAAATGCACAGTTTTTGAACAAATTTTGACATAAAGTCAATGGCAGTCTTGAATGTAAAAATAACCCAATAAAATCTTGTAGGAAATTGTTCCTTAGATTATATAAGAAAATGTACTGACTACAGGCATCTCCCATTTTGCCCAATAGCTTAGATTCAAATGTGTACTCCTCCTTTAACACATTAGTTCCCAATCCCAAACTAAATTTAACAACAAAATGAGAGGAAAAAAGGAAACAGAGCAAAAAAAAAAAAAAAAATCACTGAAAGAGGAAATAAAATATTTAATTTACCCAAGTAAACTTAACATAGAACTGACCAAAGAAAATCTGATTATTTGTTAGTTGTTTCTTCTTTAAAGTCCTATCGGGTATCTGAGTGACTGACATGCATTTGTGTGATGAAGTAAGTTATGTGCAGGATTTATTCAGAGGCTAATTAGCTTTTTATATTGAGAACTTATGAAAAGCTGCCTTATTTTTTTGAGAGTGGCAGATTACCATTTCACCATTCTGTTGCTATGGCAATACCAGCAGCAAATTGTAAGTAGGTAAACAGGATTTTGCATGTACTCATTCAGCTACCTACTTCTGGACACATCATTCAGAGCAGAGTTCATTATCCAGCTCAGGACACATTTGCCTTACATCTATGTGTCTCTATACTCCCCAACACTAGTTTCGTGAAGGTTTGTAGATTCACGTTAATACAGTATATTTAAGTTAACACAGTGTATTTGACAGCTTAAGAATCATAGACAACTCAGGCAGAGTAATAAATGGCCAGATTTTTCAGAAACCTTTAGATATAGCTTTTTCTTTTATATACATTCATGGCAAAAAAACCCCAAACAAACAAAAGAACAAACAACAGAGAAGAGAGTGATTTAACTCTTCTTATTATAGAGCTATTCCTCATTTCACCCTTAAACTGACTCATGCCTTTCAGGTAGGTAACATCATTAATAAGCATAAGTTACATTTTGCTCTCAGTAAATTACAAAATAGTGAGTTTGGGTTTCTTTTTTTCAAGATCAGTCAGTAACCTAAGATCTTAACTAATAAGGAATGGATAATTTTAAGTGGTTGCATTATGCAATGTATGACCAAGTGTTCCCCACAAATTTAACTTAATTTTTGTCAATGAACCAAAAGTCTTTCTTTGCAAAGCACGTAAAGATGCACAGCAGCACCTGCTGTTCTTGGAATTAAAATAATCAACAGCTCCTGGATAATGTGGGCAAAGAGAAGTGTGGGGGGGGAATAATCGTTTCACATTTTAGCCGTTTCCATTTTAGCCATTTCCCTCTGAACATCAATCTTATATGAACAGAAAACAGCTGACGTATCCTGCAGTACAAAGAGTAAAATGAATTCAATAAACACCCAGTGCGCGGGAAGGGATCTGGCCACAGCAGCAGGACACCCTGCAACCCAGAGATGCTGTGGGAGAGTGGGAAAAGGCTTTTAGTGGACCTGCTGGAAATGAGCCTCAGCAGGAGAAGAGGCAGAGCACAGCCTTTCTTTCCGCCAGGAGCCGATGATAAATGCTGGATGCGTTTCTCAACAGTCACTCAGGCCAATGAAACTAATTACCTCATTTTCACATGTATAGCTTACGCTTCAAATAATTTGCTCTCTTTTAAATATATGCCAGTCTATAGATGTGGTTATCAGGCCTCGTCATCAGATGGGGTTTTCAGACAGCCCACGCTAAGTTGGGCGCTGGAGGAATGAGGAGCAGAACAAAGGCAGGAGACCGTCAGGAGGGAAGGGAACATGCCCAGCACGCTCGCAGATAAGCTTCTTCCTTAATTCCTTCTGCCTGCACATTAACTACCTCACTGTGCCATCAGAAGGTATTTTCATGATAACCTATAGATTATATTCATGAAAATGCACATATTTCTTCATAGAAATGGAGCTAAATAAATATTTATGAAACGAAAAAAAGATGTCTGAGTCCAGCTTTTTTTGCTACTACCTCAATACCATGGGGAAAAAAAAAAATTTTTTTCAGAAGCTATGGGAGATATTTAATTTTTAAATCAGGAAGGAATCTTGCTCTTATTCCAGAAATAGGAAAGAAAAGTCCCACATCTCTCACTGTAACAATATTTTCCATCTGTTTTTACTGCTCTAATGTTGTTTGATAGCTTAGTCAGTAAGTAGCTCAGTTTACTGGATTACTTTTAAAGAGAACTAAACAGGTAGGATGCAAATTAAAATACACGCGATATGTAATGAACAGGCAGGCAAATCTATTCCGTATAACAGTAACGCAACATAATCCAAGGGGATTATTTATCACTCTGCAGTTATCAGACTAATTCCAGTTCCCCTCATCTCCCCTCCCATTTTTAGTTTGTGCTATGTACAAACAGATAGAAGTCTGTCCAAGGACAACAGCTTCTGAGATGCTGCTGTCTGCAGGAAAAAATAAGCTTTGAATAATTACACGTTCTTTTTCTGTTCCTAAATATATTCCTCCCTCTGCTGTGTTGCAGGAGCACGGCATACCGACTGGCATGGGGTACGCAGTCGCTCCGCACCACTCCGGGGTCTACCCTGTTCACATCCAGCTCTATGAGGCCTGGAAGAAGGTCTGGCACATCCGAGTGACCAGCACAGAAGAATACCCACACCTGAAGCCTGCACGGTACAGACGGGGCTTCATCCACAATGGCATCATGGTACACTGCATTTCCATGCTTCATAGCAATAGTACTTTAAGTGACTCAAAAGTATGCTATTTTTACCAAATGCTTCAAGTTTTACAGCAATCATTAAAATTCTCTGTGATCGAGGACTTGTAAGGATGCCAAAATAGCGCATTTGTTATGCGGCCAGTTTTAAAAAAAAAGGCACACAAACTCAGGCAACTGCAAATGTAATCCTCAGAAACTAAATGTACTTGTAGTCCCATCAACTATCAACTGAGTTACAAATGCATACTTGGAAATTCATTAAACTGCCTAAGACCTGTGTTTCAAGCTCTGGTTCATCTTTATGCATGAAAGGATTAGAAACCCACCACCTGGGAAGGTGAGCAGGTATAAGTAATCTCCTCCAGCAAGCGTGACACTTCTGAGGCCGAGGTTTCGTTCTGAGCTTTGCTTCTGAAACTCCCGGAGCCAGGGACCGGACACGTGCCCATCTCTCCCAGACCATGCATTTGCGCGAGGAGAGAAGGTTCCCCACGTACACACTACAACTGCATGAAGGGCAGGAGATTGTATTACGTTATTTAGCCTGTCTTACCAGTCAGCTGCAACCCTATAGATCGATGAAACACAAAAACTGAATATGAATAAGTCAAGTTAGAAATATTTCAAGGGCAGGTCCTGGGATGCTTTAAAGTCCCAGCTGACTTGAATATTGCCTATGCATATAGAGTCAAAATTGTGATCCCCTAAACAAGGCAAAAGGAACATCTTAATCAAAACAAAGAAGGTACTGCACAGAGTCCAATTACTATTGGAATAGAGTCAAATTCAGCAGTGCATTTGCACATGTATTAAAATGCTCTGCTGAATGAAGGTTTTATTTGTTTTTAACTGCAAAAACCCTGACTGGAGGGAAACAAAAGGCTTCCCCAGGTGAAATATGTCTCTGCATGGATTAGGCAATACCCATCAGCCCTGACAGTTGTTGTCTTTACTTTACCAGACCCCCTTTAATAGTACCCTGCTAATAATGTAACTAAACCATCTAGTTCTCCAAGATGAGTTTGTTTTCCCACGCCTGCTAGCTGGCTGGTTTCTGACCCGCAGCCTCTTGATTTATGATGGGAGGGGGAGATGACCTCGGGCTGGTCTCACACGAGCATCCCACCTGTCCCGTGCACATTTCACAAACAGGAATGAGGGGCTCTGTATGCTTTTCAGGACTGAGGAAAGTATGAAGTAACAGGTCTTTCATGGTCTGCAGCCTTGAATACAAATTCAATTCAATGTCTCAAGAACAGCAAGATTAATTGCCTGAGATAGCAAGGAGGCCAGGAAGCCCTATTTATCTGCTAATAAACTAACCTTGCTAAGGGAAGAGAGGTTTGGCTTTTTGTTTTCTTCCTCTTCCAAATGCCAGGAAACAAACACTTATTACGAGTGTATGAGCTGAATAAAGTCTGCATGAAAGCTCAGCACATGTGTGTCACAGCTTTTCAGAGCTGGCATCTGGAAGTGTCCATATCTGCAGGACCGAGTACAGAAGGTACAAAGGAGGCCATAAATAAACACGCCAGAGCAGAGAGGCAGAAGGGGTCGCGGTTTTGTTTCTGGAGTTGCTGGAAAGATTTGGGTGGCTGTGCCAGGGTAAGTTTGCAGACCAAAGTTAACATCTGCACTGTTATTTTGTTCTCAGGTGCTCCCTCGACAAACCTGTGGCCTTTTCACGCATACTATTTTTTACAAGGAATACCCTGGGGGTCCTCAGGAGCTGGACAAAAGCATCCAAGGAGGTGAACTCTTCCTCACCATTCTCCTGAATCCCGTAGGTACCTTCTCCTGCTATTTTTTTGGACACACTGACTAGCGGGGAGGAGGGAGGGAAGGGGAGAAGGAAATCAGTTTTCTTTGATCTTGTTTGGGAAATAAAAATCAAGACTGCTTGCTTTTGTAACAAGCAGTTTAAAAGCAAAGGAGCAAAATGTCTTTCACTAATTTCTAACTACAACTGTATGCAACAAGCTACTGGAAAACGCATTCATTTCAGCTCCATATTGTTTCCTAACCTGAAGCTGGGTCCCTGTGAGAGAAGGGCACGCTGACTTGTTTAACTAAGACTGAAAGAAACCAGTGTGGGTAGAGCAAACTGTGTGATCTTATTCCGTTTTGCCTTTTTTCCATAAGTTTGGCTCCTCAGGCACTCCTGGTATAGCTCGATGGAAACCCCAGGGCTCAGGCCTCATATCATTCCCCCACCACACTGGCTCTTAAAAATAGGGGGTTTGCAGCTAAAAAATACCCCAAGCAGTACATAGCCTTCTAATGAAGATTTCTGCTTTGCTCAGTGCTGCATTTCTTTTTCTCTGTCAACATTACATGAACCATAAAGTATATATATGCACACATACATATATAAACAACCAACGCATGTATAAACACACACATATATATGGTTTAATCAAAACTGCCACAGATGTTAAGGATGATTTGCAGAGCTGTCACGCAATTTTGCCTCTCACCTAATAAAGCGGTCTGAACTGCACTGCTCTAATATACACACGCATACACACATATGACGACACGATGTAGGTGCGTGCCTAGGTGTGGTTGGGCTTACTGAGGATCAAAGAGGAAAGCTACCTGACTGCAAACACTAGATTTAAGTCACAGTTCTCTTGCCTGTGTGTAACAGTCTCGTGCCATGGAAGTACAAGAACAAAAAAAAAAAAAATATCATTTTTTTTTTTTGCCATTGTCCTCCCTTTTTCCTCTTCCAGCCAAACAAGCTGCACTACTCACATGATAAATGTCTTGCATCTTGCCATGTGGCCTAATTTTCAGTGGTTTTAAATTGCAGTACTCATTGACTTCTCTGCAGCTTTAAACTTCAGGTGGAGCTAACTCTCAAATCCAGGTCACTTAGAGACTTAAATATAGATTTTGGTATTATATAATTAGATGACTATTTCGGCTGGGGTGCTAAGTTGGCGTCTGAGTCAAGGATTCAGTGGGCTTAAAGAAATGGGACATTTCTATTGGGAATTTTTCTGTACCATGCACGTGATACCTAATTTGAGAATAAAAAATATCCCTGTTTTTTATCCTGTCTCTCCATTACCTGCGGTTCTCAGCTGGCTTTTCTACCATAGTTTCCGTAAGTGTAACTTGGCTTACCACAGTCTTGGGATGCTGCTGGAATTTATCCTTAGCTTTATCATACTTCGATCAAAACCTGTGCATCTTTCACATATCTAAAGATTTCCTCAGATTTAGGCAGTGCAGCAGTTTGTGTGTTCTTACTCCACGAGAGTTGCTTAGAATAGACCCAATTCCGCAGTCAATCACCACATCCAAGCCTTTTGAGCATGCTCAGGCCACCCTGCCTGCCTCCCCTACAACTTGACTTTTCCTCTAACTTCAGGTTTTTCTTTCTTACTGACAGCAAAGAAGCAAGAAGGCACAAGCTCACAGTTGCTTATTAGAAATTTCAGACTTTGGATCTTTTAAACGATTGCGTCCAAATGTTCTTCCCAAAGATAGGCTGAGGCTGTGGGGAAGGGTAGCTCTTCAATTAGTCTAAAGATTATTTTAAAGGCTATTATTGAACTCTGAATTAAATCAGATGGGCCTATGCCACCATTTATTACACTGTCCATAATTCACCAGCCTGGGCTCTCCAGGCAGCTCCCGAGCAGGACCAACCTCTGAGGTGCCGAAGCATCTTCATTCTGGGAGCTCTAACACCCCGGCTGCTTGCGCCAGCCCTGCAGGAGGTTTCCCCCAGCCAAGTCCAATTGCTTCCCCCAGGCAAGGGCCAAATCCCTCCTCAGATGGGTCCTGCAGCACAGATGGGTGCTCTTGGTGCCCTGCTGAGCACGACAAAGAATACTTGAGAGAAGCAGTTCTGCTGTCTGCCTTTTAGGTTTCAGGAGCGATGCAGCAGAGACAGGACCTTTCCTAAGGCAGCAACATGCAATGGCAGGCAAACTGTCCCACGTTTAATCACGCATCTCTGGTGTTGATGACAGAGCTAGAAGACAGTGTTCCAAAGAAAAGGGCGGGGCGGTGGGGGGGAAGATTTTCTTTGATTTTCTTCAGTACATGAAGTCATTGTTTTGACCAAGCTATGTTCCAATAACTTGAGTCCAATAGATGTTATTGGGTGGCATTTGAAGAGAACAGCTTTTCTATACTATTAATGTTTGATTTCCCCCCACACACACACTTTTATGATTTTCTAGCTTTGCCTCATCAAAACTGATATTCTACTAAGCTAAGTGACACAAGTGAAATACTGACATGCACTTCCCTAACTCTGAGTTCAGTATGAATCTGTTCCAGTGTAAGTGCTTACTCAGACAGGAAGAAATATAATTTAATCTTGTGTGAGCTGAAGTAAGATACACCAGAAAACCCCACCATCATTCAAGTCAGGTTGGTACGCTACCCCATGAAATACGCACTGTCTGACAACAGTAAGAGCAAAATCTAGCCTTATCTTGGAAGGAAACTGGTGAGCAGGAAACAAAATAATCTATATTCATACACCCTTTTTCTTTTTTCAAATACCAACTTTGGACAGCACACAAGTGAATAAATGGGAAGACCTTTCTTTTATTCAGCGTAAGAGAAGGTGTAGTGTTTTGGTGGTTAATTTGAAAAAGTTTACAGGTTAGTATCTAAAGTCTATAGTATCTTATGGAAAGGATCAATAGCGTGCCTATTCCACTGGCCAATTGCAAATTCAGTTGAATAAAAGAAATGTGCTTTGAATGTGATGTGTTCTCCAATCTGGCAGCAGTGCATACTAGCACAGCAACAAGAGACTTCCCATCTTATATCCGAGAAGCTTTTTACACACCTCCGCTCATTAATAAGCTTCCTTAGTATTTGGATATCAACCTGTGCAGTTCAGGGCTTTACCAAGAGCACAGTTCAGGGATTTACCATGAGCAGTAGAGTGTAAACCAGCGCCTGCTCTCCAAATGGATTATGGAAAAGAACAACTGTGTGGAATGTAAAGGCTTTTTCAAGACCATAATTTAAAATTTTGTTCTTGTTGAGTCATATTGAATGAGATGCCTGATGTAGTCCATGGACAGAAACCACATCCATAAAATAAAATCCTAGCCAGAATGCACCATCCCCCCTAGCATGTAGGCTGCTTTACACATGGTTACAGTTATCTTACTTCAAGTTTTGCAGGAAAGGGGTTGCCTGTACATTGTTTATTTTTGCATTACTGACATTGCTTAAAAATATTTTTTGTTTACTCTTTAAAAGCACCAGCCAGACT